AACCGTGAGTGTCTCCAACACTGGGCAGATACTCTTCTGACAATCACATCGATTTTTCTTAATTTCATTGACCACTTCTGTTCTGGATCTTCATCTTCGTCCATCACCTAATGTCTTTATGGCGATTACTTTTACCTTTAATGGCGGCTATTGGTGTTAGTAGGCGGACGCTGGAAGAAAATCAGGGTCAAGACGAGTTTAAATTTCAGCAGCAGATCACATGTACCCATTCAGAAATTCAGAAACAGGGGTAGTACGGGATCACCTTCCAATGCCACACATAATGTTACCTAACTCTGCAGCATGTTACCTGATCAACTGCAGAAGTGAGATTAAAATTATGAATCAAAGCCAGAGACTAATGTTCATCCAACTTAATGTATATTAACTCCTAAAGTTTGACATTTAAGAGGACATTTGATCTATTTTTAGACCTTGAGGTTCATAACTAAGTGTATCCGGACAGGTCAAGTGTGAATGATGTGACAAAGGCCTCGTCCTTTCCTTTCAAAATGATCAGTACTCACGATTTCTTTTACCTTTAGTCTTCTTAATGTTCTCTCTTAGTCAAACATCCACATGATATCCGTCAATGAAAAATCAATATCGAGGAAAAGTGGCCAAAGCAAAAGTTAGAAAACACCCGTATCAGCTCACACACGGGGCTGAAAACGCCTCTGTCGTTAAACCATCCCACAGAAACCTCTTCTCATCACAGCAGACAGTCTGCAGAACAAAGCACCAAGCAGCCTGAACTCACCGCCGACATTTTATAGATTTTAAAAATGCCTTTTTAAAAAAAATACTTTTTGTTTTTAGATTTTTTTTTCTGTTAAATTGGTTTTGAATTAGAATAGCGGTGACGACTTACGTTTCTACTAATTGGCTCAGTGGAAACAACTAATATTCTGATCTGCTTGTGCTGTTCTGAAATGCGAAGAAAGAAAAATAATTTACAAAACATATTCAGTCTATAGGGCTCAGAAGGCGACGAACACAATAAAG